ACTGTTTCCTTGTCTGACACCTGCTTATGCTGAATTCTAAGGTGGCAATCAGTAGGTTTTTTGTGTGCAGTGTGTGGTTTTTTTTTTCCTTTCGTTCTTCAGCAATAGGGAAAAGGCAGTGGCCAAAATGTGAATTTATTCTTTCATTAAACTAATTCTGCCTCGGTATGCTATCTTTCACCCAACTCATTTACCTCTTTTCCCAGTAAAAAGTTACGCTCAAATATATTTCAAAATTGCTGTCCCTGCAGGTTGAGAACTTTTGCTAGGGCCAGTCTCGTACTTCCAATAAGGCCAAGAGAATCCAGCCACAACCTGCGTGCGGAGTGCATCCTGTGATTAACTGCGGAACAGAGAACTCGTCTTAGGAGCTGCAGTTTGTGCGTTCTGGTCGTATTTCATATTGAGTGATAGAATTTAATGACAAACAGAACAAAAAGGTTACACCGGATCGTGGTGTTTGAAGATGCTGTACTTCCCAGGAGCTGCCACGGGACAGCTGGGGCCGCTCTCAATTTCATGTGTCTTCCTGAGTGAGTCCTCTCAGTGAAATCCAGCATTGCACCTACCTGCCTGTTGGCAGCTGAATTTCCGTGACACCAGCTGTGTGTTTGGCTACTTGTTAAATCCTGTTAGTGTTTCAGGGATCAAAAATTCCAAGTAGGTTTATTACTTCATGATGGAAATAATTTCTTTATAATCCCTTGTCTATGTGTTTGGTATTTATGCCTTTTTTTTTTTTTTAAAGCAAGACAATTTTTTTTCTTATAAATCCCTTATTATAATAAACTGGATATAAGGGTGTGGAACTTGGAGATGGTTTGGGTTGTAATTAAATGAAAATTTAAGGGCCCGGCATGCTGACATGTGAAGACTGGTGTCTGTTTTTACCAAAGGAAGTAAAAAGGCTAGAGTATTAAAAACTGTAGTTTAATCTGTTAAACCTAAAAAGCCTTAACCTGAATCTGTGATTGGCATTTTGCTTTGATCTTTTTTAAACGCTCAGTGATGTGGCAGTATGAGCCTTTACAGCTTCTTGTAAGCTTCCAAAACGCCTGAGAGATTGATTCTCCCCCGATGAAAGTTTTTTGCCTTGCTGGCAAAACGGCGACACAGAGCGCTGTTTCCTGCGCTGGGGAGGAGGAGAGGCCTCCCTGATTTTACTGCTGGTGTGAAGTTGCAAGGCAAAATGTTCATACGGACAGCATCACCTTCCATTGCGAGCTGGGCACTTGGAACATTGTCCCCGCAGCCCCCTGTGCACTGGAGCAATGAGCAGCTCAACAGGGCTGCGCAAAATGCTAAGCTCTAGTAAACTTTGGAAGTAGAGATGCTACTGTCAAAGCTAAGTCTGTTTGAAATTTTGTGCATTAACTGCGGTTTGCTTCCTTTCTGCAAAAAGAATCAGCCTTATTCCTTGGGAGGCTGAAGAAGTTTGACTGCCTAGCCAGTTCTTAGCTCTCAGAGTTGTATTTGTGTCTTTCCAGAGACACAGCTCGAGGATACTCGGGCATCTTGGAAGGTGAGATGACCATTTCTACAGCCTGCGAGATTCTGTGAATTTGGATTACTTCTGGTTTATAATTCAGGCAGTAGAAGCCCAAGCAGCTGAGTGGATAGAGCACGACTCCAGTGACTTCCAGCATACAATCAAGAGCTGCATCTCTCCATCCATCTCAATTAAAGCTTTGAAGTAGTGGCATGGTTGAGCCATGATCTCTGCAACAGTCATGACAGGCAGGCGTGTGCCAGCTCGTCAACACTTGTGTGAAAACACGGAGCATTTGGCATACTGTGGAATACACAGTGCCTCTTTGTTTGACAAAAGGAGTTTTGATGCAAAGGAATGGTCAAAATTGCCAAGCACCTCTGTGAACATTCCTGTTTATTTTGAGTTGAAACCCTTTTGAGGGTGAAAGTGGAAGCTGTTTTGGTTTCCTGAGACAATAAAACACATCTCGTGACTAGCCGTACGTAGAAAGATGCAAGTCCCAGTGTGCAGTACCGACCTGTATCTGGAAGCTGAATGGGACACTGCTGCCTGGTGACCCAGCGGTATGGCTGTGAGTCTCTGCCCTTATGAGCAAGCAGTGTGTTGTGAAGTGCCAGAGAGTGCCCAAATTCGGGGTCTGTGGAGGCCCAACCATCTGTGACCATCTGCTGCCAACAGTTTCCTGCTGGGAGCTGTGCTGGCTATTGGCCTGCCAGGTGTGACTTGAGGTGCTGTCTTCACGCTCCAAAAGCTATTCAGTTTTGGTGTATAAACACCTTCCACTTCATTGCACAAATGCATGCTCATTATGCACATGAAAAGCTTTGCAAGCAATTTTAGCATTCAGTTATACAACTACTTGCGTGGTTTTGCCTTTGTGCGGGAGGAGACTGCTGCATTCAAAACCTGAACCGTATTGCTGTGAACTATAAACTTTCCATGACGAGTTTTAACTTCCTGTAATCACATAAGTGGATTCTGCTTTGTAAATACAGGCTCCAACATTTAATCATTAACCTTTCTAAGTGCTTGTAGCTTGATACTTTAATTTCCCAAGGCAGCTGGCGTGTCACTACAGAGCGCTGCTGCAGCCAGGTGCCACTGTGTTTCGTGGGAAAGCCTTTTCTGAGTGTGCTGCTCTGAGAAGGAACAGGGAGGCCTTCCCCCAGGCACTCTTCACGTCTTTTTTTCTTTTTTTTTTTGGAATAAATAGAGGTGTGAAGAGAAGAGAGTTTTAGGCTGCTCGCAGCTGCGGGCAGGAAGGCAGAGAGGAAGCAGTGCCATTTTGTAAATAGGCACAAACCCTGTAAAACCCATGTTTTTGTTAAGATCACGTGCAGATCCATGTGTGTGTGCTTCTGTCCGTTGATGTAAACAATAGCCGAGTAACAAGGAATGGTAAAAAATATCCTTGCATCTGTAGCAGTACTCAATACAGTGAAGTCTTCAGAAAGCATGCGGTGTTATTTTAACGTGAAGAAGTCTGCTGCACGGCAGAATGGGCTCCATGAACTCAGCTGCTGGTGAAGAGTGTTGCTGAACGTTGAAACGAACCTTCTTCTGTTGGCTTTTCCACATTACCAAACCTATAATCCTGCCTCCTCTTAACGGTGCAGCTCGTTTACAGCTTATCGAGGCCAAAAATAGACCTAATGGGTTCTGGTTAAGGACAACCCACAGAAGCAGTTAACATCACCCGGGTGTACCGCTGTAAGAAGTTGGTCAGACGACTTCAAACACGTAGTTTGTTAGCAGCAGCTTGTGCGTAGTGACTACATGTTGCACACAGAGTCTCTGAAGGAGTGGCATATTCAGCAAGGGGGAAAAAAACATTCACTGTCATGGATTCTGGCAAAGTTAGATTAAAAAAAAAATGTAATTCTGCTTGTGCAATGAGTATCAGATAAGAGAGTTCTGATTTCAGGCTCCACGCTTCTTTCTGTGCCTCTGGTCACTGGTGAGGATTTTTTTGTCATTACTTCAGCCATGCAGGTGAAGAGAAGGGGAGATTAGGGCTACCATCTTAAAACTATTATGCAGTTTACTATTCTGGTCTGTTAGGAAGAAGGGGGGGGAAAAGTGCAGCAAAAAAGCTGTGCTAGGGGAATAAGTTTTTATCTCTTCAGAACCGGGAGACAGAGAGTAAGGAGGAGCTGGTTCATAGTAGTGGATGATTTCAGTGAAAACAAATCTGTCTTTCGAATTCTGGAAAACAGGGAGGTTTGGAAGCAGTGCCAAAGTTACTAGACCTTCACCTGGTCATGACAACATTGAGTGCTGGAGTTGCTCTTCCTGTTACTGCGTGTCAAGCTGTTCAGCACTGGTGTGGGAGCTGAAGCAATGACTGCACCATGCTGAACTTGGAATGGGGCAGAGCTTTACACCCTCTTTTAGATATGCGCAGAAATCCCTCTTCCCCAAACCACCGAGGGTAAGAGGAAGAGAACCACAGACAATCCTGGTGGGCTGGCTGGAGGAGCCGGGGGAACAATTCTCAAGGCATGTCACCGAGAAACAGTGTGGCTTTCTGGGATTTGGTACCGTCCTGTTTTGGCCACGATGCAGTACGGAAAGCTCTTCCTTGTTCAATGATGTGAGTTAAAGCTTCAGAGTTCTGGTCTCCACCAGGCTGTAATCATGTTTTTCTCCTGCTGCCATGAAGATGACACAATACCAGGCGAGATGTACACCTGGAATGCTGTCACCTTTCCTGATATTCCCGTAACAACATTCTTGGGACTGTTAAACTCTAATTTCTCAGCTGGCTGGCCTCTGTCAAATACCATCTTCCAGTCACATACCAGTTGTCCCTAGTTCCACGGTTAGGCAAAGGGTGTTTCAAGAAGGAATTTCCAGAGGAGCTTGGACCTGTTTCATTCCCTTTCATGCCTTTAGGAATTTTTCTTAAAATGCTTTACCTGTGTTTCTGTTAAAATTCAAGTTAGAAATCCCCACGTTGACGCCAAGGCAATAAAACTGAAGCAGTATTAAGAACCAGCCTCTCTTTATCCGTTTAAATTCTTTAATTGTTCAAGATGGTGTTTCCCAACCAGTGCGCACCGAGCTCAGTCAAAACACCGGATTTCACTCTAGTGTACTAACTATATCAAAAGCATACCCTAACGTCACATTGCAGTAAATTGGCACAACGAGTTTCGCGAGCACAGCGCTACGCTTGTTTAAAAAAGGTGACGGGATACTCTCTTTATCCGTTTAAATTCTTTAATTGTTCAAGATGGTGTTTCCCAACCAGTGCGCACCGAGCTCAGTCAAAACACCGGATTTCACTCTAGTGTACTAACTATATCAAAAGCATACCCTAACGTCACATTGCAGTAAATTGGCACAACGAGTTTCGCGAGCACAGCGCTACGCTTGTTTAAAAAAGGTGACGGGATACTCCTACAACGTTAACATTTTAGCAGCTATAAAAACGCTCCTTCCAGCCCCTACAAAACACCGTGAAAAGACATCCCAACACGGGCTGAAAAACTATGCACAAGCAGAGGGGAGAGTAGGTTTTATACAAACGAAGCAATTAGGCAGTTAAAAGTATTTACACTTTCTCCTGCTATTAGCTAAACAAACATACAGTAGTCAGATAAAAATATACTACAACTCTAAGTCCTGTAACATGTAAGCATTTGTTTTTCTAACTGGAATTTTCATCATTTAAAAGGCATTGCCTGTTAATACTGGACAAAACTATTGGCAAAAGTGTTTAAATATTTTTAAACTAAGGTTAAAGGGGCTTTTATTCCACAAAATTTAACTTTAAAATACTATGCTTATAAAATTATTTAAAACTTTCAGCAGTCTATAGGTTTCAAATGCAAAACTGAACAAGCCTCTTTAATTTGTACTTTAAAAAAAAAAAAGACTCCAGTGGCATCATTTGCTTTCAAAGGCAGAATCTTCTGCTGGGTTTTCAAGCTCACTCTCTTCACCACATGTCCTAGAAAGAAAACAAAGCAACATTAATGACCATCTGAAAACACAGAGAGCAATACTTGGAATCATGGAATCACAGAAGGTTTAGAAGAGACCTTGAAGACTGTCCAGTTCCAACCCCGCTGCCATGGGCAGAGACCCCTGACCCATGCACAGGACCCTGACCCGTGTGCAGGACCCTGCACTTGGCCTTGCTGAACTTCATGAGAAGCATTCTTCAGTTATTCCAGGAGAATTTGTCCAGTCTGAAGTAAGCCTTGCTGATGTACATTCAGCAGTAGATGGAAGTCTGGAGAACTGCAGCGGGCAGTGATGCCAGCTGTCCATCTTCTCTCTTACGCCAGCCGCCTCCACGTTAAGCTGAGCTGGCAGTGATTAACACCACGCTCATGCACGTGCCCAACTGCGAGCAGCAGTCATTCCCAAGTGGTTTGTGCTCCGTGCAGGCAGCCCGCCCTATCTGCTGCCACATACACGTCAGCTCAGCTGGAAAAGCACTCCGGCTCAGCATTCCCTACCAACTATTCCTGGCTACTAAGAAGTCATCCCAAACACCAAAGTCACCGCAGGAAGCAGGATATATTTGTACCAAACAGGAACAGAAACATGTTCCAGTCACTTCAGAAGTATTATGTTCCACAACTTGTGTCTTCCAAGTTTCAGGTAAATCTTCAGAAAGGTACAGACATGTCTTTCCTCTAATTATCGAAGGGAGTAGAGATCAGAGCTGAACACACAGGCCTCTGGTCTGAGACATTTACAACGCCTTTGCTTAGAGGCAGTAGTGGGAACTGCAGAAGTGTTCTGAACACTGATGATTTGTTCATACTTACTTTGCTTGCTCCTTTCTCACTGCTAAAAAGGCGAGTATTGCAAATAAAAATGTGTGGAAAACACGGAGTCAAAGGAAGTTTGTATGATGGGGAGACACCACTCCAGCTCGCTTGAATTTAGAACAGGCACGTGGAGGCATTTCTCAACATGCAAGGTATTTGCACGAGGTGTTACAAAATCTGTTTATAGCTGTCAGCAAACGGCTGAAGTCCACAGAAACTGCTCCCAAGTAGCCGAACAAGTGTCTTCATAAAGAGCATTTTCTTCGTTTAGGCAAGTCAACGTGTTGGGAGTGTAGAGTTCATGGCCATAGCAAACACCACTCACGCTTGAGACAGATGTTTATTTAGAACATGACACCCCCACTAGCTCATTCAGGGAAGATATGTTTGCAATTTTTACAGATACAATCACTGAAGTATTAAAAATAAAAATGGTCTTGCCTCAACATTGCTTTTTTGAGACACTCTTTACATTCAACAGCCTTTTCCAGGCATGTTGCGTAACTGTCTGAAGTATCTGCCTTGAGTTTCTTTTGACCAATGTCCACTGAGGCGTCACACATGCACCCAAATCTCTTTATCCTTAAATTCTTTTAATCGCAAAAATAAACGGCAATCTGGCTGGGACTGTCACTCAAAGATCCAAGTGCTGTCAGGTGCTGCAGGAACAGGAAAGAGCAGGCCATGAAAAAATTCTGCCTTGCAGAACTAGTTTAGTGGTCACTTATTTTTAAAGACTTGGCCAGGTGTGTTCTGTCACTGCTGCAGTGCCTTGCTGTTGATTTCAGGTAGCTCAGGTGTTGCCCTTTGTTGGTACTGCGCTCTCACTTGGCCACATCGCCTCTTCAGGAAGCATGCCTGGCACCTGACGCGTGTCAGCAGCCTGCACTCCTGCCTCCACCACGTTCTCCTAACGTGCTGCTTGTTCAGATCCAACGAATGTTTGGCACCACTGGCTGGAAACACCCAAACGTCGCTTCTGACAGCCGCGTGATCAGAGGCCCGTCGTTCCGAGGCTGCCACTCAGCACACACCAAATTCATTTTTTTATCCTAAGGGTTTATTTTGTTTTGTTCTGTTTAAGTTTACCTTATTGTAAATAATGGTCAATATTCCACTTGTTTGTAGTTTTAACTTGGCAGACAGCCAAAAAAATGCCAGGCAACTGCAGTGTCTCCTGGCCTGCATGAAGACAGTGATGAAAAAGGAAAGCTTGCTTCAGTGCATACTGCTGGGCAAAAAGAATCCCAGCACAGACAGTGCAGAAGTGCTCAGAGGAGACACAGTGGGACTTCAGCACAACGGTTCAGCTCAAGGATAATCCTAGGCTTTTCCCCATTGTTGATTACCTTGTACTATTTCTTTCTCCTATTCTGCAAGAGATCTGCCACTTCTTGTTCTTTGCAAAGCAGCACTTTTCAGTGAGGCTAAGGCTTATCCTTACCTCCTGACAAATCCAAGCATTCTTATGGCTTCTTTGGGAAAGGTAAGTGCATCGATCTGTATAAAGCGTTCAGAGTTCTGACATGTCACAGGTCTAAGTTCTAGCCTGCAGTTCATCTGCATTTGGGCAATTCTATAGCTACACTATAGAACACTAGCTCGGCTATTGATGAGGACAAATGACTTCACAAAGAACTTGATAAATTCCCTTGGTTTCTTTAGGACTTGGTTCAGGATTCCTTTGCTTCCAACTTAATAGCACCAGACAGCCTAAAACACAGGAGAAAGCTCGTATTTTGCCCTGTCTCACCACATGCTGATTTTCTCCTAACAAGACATCCTGCAGGTTCTTTTCTTTTACGTCTCCACCATAGCAGGCAGTGAATTACCTTCTAAAACGTTCATTCAAAACTTTTACATGCTACTACCATTCTCTACAGCGGAGAGAAAGCTCTGTGACAAAACCAGCACCTCAGCATGGTTAAATAACTTCAGTCCACTGCTGTTATACTGGCATCATTTGGCTAGAGCAGGACAGATCCCTAATTCAGTAAGGTTATTAACTCACTTTTTCTTACTGCCAACTTCATGCTTGTCTTTCTTTTCCCCAGTGTCCTCTCCACTGTGTTGTGACTGGTTGGTATCCTGAGCTTCAGACCCTCCGTTCAGAACCTTTGGACCTTTAAAACGAAAGGGCAGAGAAAGAACAAAGTACTGCAGGCAGCAAAACTGTGCTACAAAAAGCCCTGCATCATTTCTTTACCTCCATCAGTTCAAACAATACAAAAAGCAGTAATTGATAGGGCTTCAGCTTCTTAAAATTCCATGCAACAAGCCTCATTCCGTAATTTCAATAATGGGAAATGGACAATGCATATATTTAATGAGATTTCAAGTTCCTGTGCTTCCTAGGCCTCAGACAATAGGACTAATCCTTATTTATATTCTAATATAACATTTATAATAATAATTAAAGATAGCAAAAATAATAATTAATTAAAATATCAATTACGAATTATTTAATTAATAATTAAACAGTTATAATAATAATTATGTACTATAATAATATTAATATTCTATTAATTCTAATCCTTATTTATATTCTTATTTATATTCTCTTTACCACTGTAACCTGGTCAGATAATTTTGGGGAATTTCTGGTCGTTTAACTGGAGGTTATTAGTTCCATGGATTCTCATTTGCTCAACTCCAACATACATGTATGTAATAAAAAGTGATGGCAGTGTATATAAATAGAGTAGAAACGTTTAGTTGCAGCATGCAATTGTCAAGCAGGAAAACAAAGCACCGTGTGGAAGCTGTATTTAGTGAAGTCAAAGCAGGAATATTTAACCCCTTCAAAACTTCTCTGACAAACACGTTTTGCTCTGGTATTACAGCCAGTGAATTTGAGTGAATTGTTGAGGAATGTCACTTTCAGTCAGAATTGGCAGTCCACTTTACCTGAAGTTACAGGCTTACCAAAAAACCACAAACTCTCTGTACAGCAAGAAAAAAAAATACAAGACATCACTCTTTAGAATACTTAGAGGCTGAGAGATGCCAAAAAGCAGACAAGATGATTTTCAGATGACATTATGGACTAGACCTGTGCAGAACCAGTTCTGAACTGGAATGCCATGCGAAGAATTCCATGGAACAATGAACACTACAGTCCCTTGTTTCAAAGCAGATAGTCTGAAGCTGTACTGCAGCTGTACTTGTTCTGCTTCACAGAGCCAGTAAGAGTTCAGCAGCTCAATTTTCTAAAACAGCAGGCAAAGAAAAATCCATTTCTATGAAATATCCCCGTTCTGCTAAAATCTCCTGCCATTCTGCATTTGACCATGGAGCAGTATGCTCTCTCATCGTGTTCTGTTGAACTCTCGTGTTAACCTTATCCCAAGTAGCTTCTTTAGCCAGACTACGCTATGTGCAGGAAGTCTTTCAGTTGAGATTCTCTGTTCAAACATCAGCTGTCCTGGTCTCTGGGCTGGGGAAGCACCTGTGTGGAATCTCTCCTACATCATACATACTTCTTTGACCATGAAACAGTTAGGTTTTATCATCATCCCTACTTTCTAAGCACCTGCTAATCCAATGGCATTTCAACTACAGTTATTCTGAATCCTTGGCATCCTCAGTCACCTCGGTTACAGCAACCTGTTTATTCCAGATCCCAGCAGTATAACTTCCAAACAGTTTTCTGAAACAGTTTTGCTCTGAGGATTCAAGTTGAAAGTAAATATGATTGCTCTCCAGTGGTTGTGAGAACTTCTCCTACTTCTTCAAGGATTTAAATTCATTTCCAACCCAGCCTTCCAGTGTCTCTGCCTCATGTTGTTCCTCTATTGAAAAATGCAAGTGTCTATTTTACTACATTTCTTTCTCATTATTCTTTTAAGTAACTGACTTAAGTTACTGTAGAGCATGGAAAGCTTTCAGTATCATCCTGTACTTAGAATCATGGAACGGTTAGGGTTCGAAGGGATCTCAAAGATCATCTAGTTCCAAGCCCCCTGCCATGGGCAGGGACACCCTCCACTACACCAGGTTGCCCAAAGCCTCATCCAACCTGGCCTTGAACACTTCCAAGGATGGGGCATCCATGACTTCTCTGGGCAACCTGTTCCAGTGCTTCACCACCCTCGGAGGGAAGAATTTCTTCCTATATCTCATCTAAATCTGCCCTCTTTCAGTTTAACGCCATTGCCCCTTGTTCAATCACTACATGCCCTTGTAAAAAGTTCCTCTCCAAGCACTCATGATTAACGTGGAATAGTACTGCTAAGAGCACAACAGCCTTTTCTCCCCATAATGATGATTATTTCTTCACTGTTAGACTGAACTACTGAAGTTGCTTCACAGAAGAGGTTAAAAGCTGCTGCTACACAAAGTAGCATGCTTGACACAGGAAGCGGCTAGTGAAGGAAATTAAACAGTTAAAGCTCAGGTGGAAGTCTAGGCACCAAAAGGCTGCTTGAGGAATGGTGAGAAGTGTGTTATTCTACCTCATGTTTAATGTTTTGTCTTTCTCTGTAAGGTAATGAAGTTAGAAAACGTACAGAGAAGTAATAAATGCTAAACTCAATTCCTGCAAAAGCCCTTCCCTTCAGGCAACAAAGGTAAAATAGCCACAGAAAACATTATACCCTTCAACTTGAAACTGAGTTACAGCATTATTATTCTTGACTATTTCAGATATGCAAAGATTTTAATAGATGGGTAGGATTCCTATATCCAGGATTTTTTGAAGAAGCTGGCTCAGAAACTGATGGAGACTAGGTCTTTTATACAGCAAGAAACTAAAACCACAATGACTTACCTGTTTGGTCCTTTTCTTTTTCCTTTTCCATTTTTTTGTTTGTTCCTTTCTTCCACTGTTCTTTGGTTTTGTTGGCTTCCTCGTGCTGCTTCTGCTCAGCAAGTGATTTATTTAGTACTTGGGAAAGAACAGAATCCCCTTCCCCAACCAGGAACATGGTCTTGAACTTGTTATATAGCATTGTAGATTTCTCCATGATAACTTGGCTGACTTTGAATTTCCGTATCTGAAATCGAAGTAACAGAACAGTGAGCTCCAATTGGGTATTTAAATACCTTGGTAATTTCATCACATGCCAGATGGAATTCTTAGTTTAACCTGAAAGGAGATAATGGACTTTTACACTCTTCTGGAGTATCACAGAATAGCTGAGGTTGGAAGGGACCTTGAAAGGTCATCTGGTCCAACCCTTTGTGGGAAAGGGAGCTGGATGAGATTATGGAGCACGCTGTCCAATCACATCTGGAAACCTCCAGTGTCGGGGACTTCATCACATTGCTGGGGAGGTTGTTCCAATGAACGGTTATGCTCACTGAAGAAAGTTTCTTTTTTTAATCCAGATGAGACCTCTCGCAGTGCAACTGGTACCCATTGCCCTGTCTTCTCCACGTGGCACCCTGTGAAGGGAACCTCCATCCTCTTTGTGACTGCCCTTGAAGTGCTGGAATGCTGTGATGAGGTTTCCCTGAGCCTCCGCCAGGAAGAAAAGACCTAACCCCTTCAGTCCTTTCTTACAGGGCAGTTTCTGCAGCCCTTTGATTATCCTCATGGCCTTCCTTTGGATGATCTCCCATCTGTCCGCGTCATTCTTGAATTGCAGGGACCAGAACTGGACCACTACAGTAGTCCAGTAGTAAATAATTTAACGAAACACACAGGTTACTTTGATTAAAACTGCAGAGCTCACCTTCTTCAGAGTCAGAATCATCTCTGTATGTTTCTGAGCTTGTTGCATTGTGACTTGAAGGGATGCAAGCTCATCGAGAGCCTCAATACACCTGTTCACATTCTGTATATAAACAAGAAATCAGTTTGAAGAGTTAACTTACATGTTAATAATCGTTAATTAGCCATACTAAATTAACTTCCATGCTCAGTGATACCTTCCTATAGTATTCCTTAAATTGACTATGTACTTAATTTTAGAACAATTCACACAAACTTGCAACAGTTGCCTTTCAGCTGCTTCAGTAACAAAAGGCAGATGCTATCTGAATAGCTTACAGTTTTTAAAAATAATGTTACACTTTCAAAATATGAACTCAAGTTTTACGCCACTTTCACAATTCTAGCATTTCTGTGCTTCAAGCTGTTCTCCACAATCAGCCTTTTCCATGCACAATTTTTCCCGAGTGCGTTGCCACCGAGAAGGTAGCAAAGCACCTCGAGTGGACTGTAGTTAATATACAGAACTGTGTCTTTGTAGATTTTTTTCAGTTAAATTTTGAATAGTGACACTCTGTGCAAGGCACCCAGAAGTAATGTTGTGAGCTTCTGATCCACTTCTAGGAACCAGTGTACCAATGACTTCTTCCTGTAATAATTAGTTCTCATTTTCCTTATCTTCAGCTGCTCCTGGTTATTTGAATTCCTATTTAGAACTAATAAAATTCATCTCCAGCACAGGTCTTAATAATATTCCGCACCTTGTATAAAGTTGTAGCTCCTGTTCTCAAGGGAAGTTAGTATTAAAAAAACCCATAATACTTATGGGTTGGGACTATGGGACTATGCTCAGCAGAGTTCTTACTATCATCTTTACTTGGTAAACACAATTATAATAAACTAAGTGTCCTTCCTGTATCTCTACAACCAATGTTCTTCCCAGTACTGCAAGACATTTGCTCCATTACACCTCTGAATCAGAGGTGTGGTGGGGTTTTCCTTTTTTTTTTTTTTTTTTTTTTAATTATTTTTTTTTTAGTTATTATTTTAGGAGAATTTACTGTCTGGCTCAGGATAGAGCGATTTCTTTAAGCCAAACTAGCAAGTTGTGAAGTAAAAGCTTTATAAATTTTATTTAAGGTGAACTATTCTTTTGAGAGAAAGTACTGGCATAGACTTAAAATAATTTAAGAACAGGACACACTGGAAATCCATGTTTCATATTTAACAATGTGGTAGGCTGGCCTTGGCCAGCAACCAGATGCCCAGCCAGCCACTCACCTCTCCCCCTCAACAGTGCAGGAGGAGCAAGCAGGATGACAACGCTTACGGGTCGAGATAAAGACAGTGAGATTGCTCACCAGTCACTGTTGTGGGCAAAAAGGACTCTACTTAGGGAAAATTAATTTATTACCAATTAAAATATATTTGGGTCAAGAGAAACTAAAATGAAATCAAGACTTTTCCTTCCCCCCTCTGCCACGCTCAACTTCCCTCCAGGCTCCCCTCCTCAGCCCATCCCCAAGCGGTGCCACGGAGGCAGATGGTCAGCACATCACAATTCCTCTCTGCACCTCCTTCCCTCTCACGTTTCCTCTGCTCCAGCTTGGGCACTCCCCACAGGCTGCAGTCTTTCAGGAGAAGTCTCCAGTATGGGCTCTCCACAGGCCACAGTGTCAACACCTGCCCCGTCGTGGTGTCTTCCACAGGCTGCAGGGGAATACCTTCTCCAGCAACATGGAGCACCTCCTCCCTTCCTCTCTGACTTGGGTGTTACCTCTGATGTTTCTCACTTTTTCTTCCCCTCCTCCTCCTCCTCCTCCCTCTGCCCAATGTGTTTTGCCCTTTCTTAAGTAAGTTTTCACAGAGGGGCCACCATCTTGGCCGAGGGGCTCAGCTGTGCCCTGTGGTGGGTCTGCTGGAGCAGGCTGGAACCAGCCCTGCCCCAACTACCAGAACCTTGCCTCTGACACCCAACACAATGCTGTTCCTGCGTTGGTGCAGCTTGCTGCTTCTCATGCTACTGTCCTTCCTCACCGATGCTCGTATTTTCTCATTGTACAAATAGCACTCACAAAATGAAGATACTAAACCAAAGGCTGAATCCCTTTCATCCATGCAATGGTACTCTGAGGGCAGCCATCAGCTCCTTCTAGTTTTGGCTACTCTCTCTGTAATGCAGCCCAGGATGCTACTGGCCACCTTTGCCACAGAGCAAATTGCTGGCTTACAGTAAGCTTGGTGTCCACTAGCACCCCCAGGTCATTTTCTGACAAGCTGCTCTCCAGCTAGTCAGTCCCCAGCCTGTGCTGGTGCATAGAGTTGTCCCTCTGCAGAGACAGAGCTTGAACCTTTGTGGAACTTCATGAAGTTCCTACTGGCCTGTTTCTCCAGCCTGTCCAAGTTCCTCTGGATGGCAGCACACTCATCAAATCCTTCCTTCCAGTTCTGCATTATCTGCAAACTCGCCACAAGTCTCATCTGTCCCATCATCCCAGTCATTAATGGCAATGTTTTGACAGTACTGGCTACCAGTGACTGGCTTCAGCTGGACTCACTGCCACTGGTGGCACTCTTTTATGCCCGGCAGCTCAGCCAGTTTTCAGTCTACCTTGCTATCCCCTCGTTTAGTCCAGACTTTATGAGTGAGTGAAAAAGCCTTTTTAAACTTAATATCCACTGCTCTACCTCATCCACCACGTCATCTCACAGAAGGATGTCAGTTTGATTAATTCCTCTTCATCAACCCATCCTGACAACTCCCAGAGACCTTACTGTCCTTCATATTATTGGAAACAATTTCCCAAGGATTTGCTCTACCACCTTCCAAGGGGTCTATGTGAGACCAACTGGCCTACAGTTTCCCAGATCCTCCTTCTGGAAGACGAGGGTGACATTTGCTGATCAGCATGACTTTTTAAAAATAAAATGGACGCACAACAACATCATCTAGCTCCCTCAGCATCCTTCGGTTTACTTCACATCAGGTCCCACTTTGTTTAAATGTTCCAAATTTGATCCGTGTCCACTGAGTATCACACCTTCCCTGTTCTGGACTTCCCATTGGTCTCAGGGACCTAGGATTCCTTATGGGAATTGTACGGGCAAATTGAGTCAAGAAGGCATTGAGTACCTTGGCCTTTCCTTGTCCTTTCTCACTAGATACCCCACCCCACCCAGCAGCAGGCCCATATTTTCCCAGTCTTCCTGTTGCTGGTGAAGTACTTGAAGAAGCTTTGTTGTCATTCATTTCTCTCCCCAGATTTAACTCCAGGTGGGTTTTGGTTTTCCTGAGCACATCCCTCCATGCTTGGACAGTGTCTGCATATTCCTCCCAGGTTGCTTGTCCCTGCTTCCACTTCCTGTATGCTTCCCTTTCTTGTGTCCTGATTATGGTCAGGAGCTCCTTGTTCATCCACACAGCCCTCTTGCCACGTTTGTTTTTTTTTCCTGCTTGTCAAGATAGATCAATCTTGATAAGGAAGTAAACCTTAGAAGTGAGCCAGACCTCCTGGTCCCTTCTTCTCTCCAGCATGGTCTCTCAAGGGATTCTTCCAAGCAGATCCCTGCAGAGGCCAAAGTCTGCTCTTCTGAGCAGAGGACTATGATCCTTTTTGCCCTGCTTCCTCCTCCTCCCAGGATCCTGAACTCCACCATCTCAGTCACTGCACAGCCAAGGTTGCCCATGTTTCATATCCCTGAACAGGATATGAATGTTGTCCCTTCAGCAGATACCAGGATGGTTCGAGCCTCCAATGAGGACCAGAGCCTTTGAACCAAAGGTGTTTCCCAGTTGCCTTAAGATGACTTCATTCTTTACTTCTGCCTGTCAGGTGATCTGCAGTAGACATCCTCTTGACATCACCCATGTTGGTCTGCCCACTAATCCCAACCTGTAAGCTCTCAGTTGTATAGCTCTGCAATGGGACAGAGCTCAGCCATGTTCCTACTGGTCTCTCACAAAAACAGTTATCCTGCATTTTCCCAGCGTCTTTATTTCCTATAAAGCCTGCATACATCCATGGCAACACTCCAGTCCCATGAACTATCCCACCAAATCTCTGTGATGCCAATGAAACCATAGCCCTGCAACTGCAGACAGATGTCCAGTTCCTCTGGTTTGTTCCCCATGCTGTGAGCGTACAGCCACTTCAAAGAGGCACTCAATTGTGCTGACTTTCCAGGAAGGTTACGACAGCCTTCCTCCTAACACCGTGCTTCCAGAACTTCCTCATTGCTGTGAATATGCTTGTAGTGATGCCACATCAGTCCTGCTCTGCTGAGGAATTCTGCTGATTACAAGGCCAATTCTGTTTGCGTCACCCCACATCATTTGATTGCCATCCTGCTCCACCACTTCCTCACCTTCCCTTCTGCTGTTCCTAGTTTAAAGCTCTTTAACCAGGTTGGCCAGCCTCTTGGCAGCAATACTTTTGCCTCAATTAGCTGGGTGGACCCTGCCGCCTCCTAGCAGTTCTATCCATTCCCTCGCAAGCCCCTTCCTCAAGAAAGGGTCCACCACCTGGGTCCCTGTACCTTGACCATCACCCTCAGGGTCACACAGTCATGCTTGATACTTTGCAGGTCTCCCCTGACTGTATCATTGGTGCCCACCTTAGAAAACCAGCAGCAGTTAATAACAGTCTTAAGGCCAGACAGGCCTCAACCACCTGTCAGTAACATTCCAAATCTGAGCCCCTAGCAAGCAGAAGACTTCCCTCAATGGAGGCCTCCATCCCTTGCATCAGGGAGTCTGCCACTACTACACTCATTGTATCCTTCTGGTGCTTCTGCACGGCTGGCACAGATGCTCCATTTGACACAATCTTGTCTAAATGTTTCCGGTAAATAATTTATTATGAAGTATTTTAAAACAAAACCAATCTTACTTGCTGACATTGATCTTTTAATGTCCATAGTAACCTCATGTAAGCAGCAGTTATCTTTCAAACTGAAAAAAAAATCTGTTCATTCTCAGAATATTACTTTTAAAAAACCCAAAACACTCATGTCAAGTATTTCCTACTGGAATTATACACATAGATCAGTTTTTTTAAAAAAAAATACTTACAAGATGATCAATTTTCAGGGAATTCTTAATTTCTGCATGTATCCTCTGAAGCCTGGAATCCATTGATGTTTCTGAAGATTAAAAACAATACACACAAATATTTCATAATCACATCAGGTTTGTTTTTGTAGAAACCTATAAATCTGAACTACTTGCAGGATGCAGAACACGCATTTACAGGGGCAGGCACCCTACATTAGATGACTGCACGGGCACACACATGAAATACACCACAGGGCTTACTATCAGAAACAAAGCATGCAGCTTTTTAAAATCGGGCACCATTAGCAGCCCACACAGTTTTCTCCTTTGAGTCGCATCTCTAAAATAGTCTTCTCTTTCAATATACGCCTGTCGCCCTCTATTGTGGGTCAGGTCAAAAGGAAGTTTCAGTAAATACTGAGAGTTACAAAGCTGGAAATCCTTTAATGATGGAAGGCCTAGATGTTTTCAGTAAATTCGAAGTGATTCAAGTTACAGTCCAAATCCATCAAAACAAAACATTCCTGGTACACATGCTCCAGCAGGTGTGCAAGATGAATGAACATGTCCATCTCTAATGCACATGCCAAATGCCTCTTCGGATTTTTTCCTACGCAAGTGGCACATATTCTAAATGACACTGCAAGCAAACAGTTTCCTTCAAGTCCAATCCATCTCGGATAAGTTTGGATACTTTTCTTCTTCCTCTGCCAACGCTAGGTTGGTTGGAGTCCGTGCCACTGGATCTGTACTATACTACAAATAACAGCCAGTGGTTTGGATTGCCCTTAAAGATGGAAGTACTAAAAAAGGAACAACTTATCTCTCTGAAGGTCAGTTTGCAAGTCTGGGTTAGTAGACGAGACCACAGTAATCTGAATCTAAGCCTCTTGCTTAGGAAAAGCAAGCCTCTTGCTCAATAAGAAGTTGTATCTAAATACTTTCAAGAGGTCCCTCACGTTACTGAGTTATGAGAAGACAGAAAGGAAAACAGATGAAGGAAAGAACTAAAGTCACTAGGTTCAAAGAATAAGAGCTTTTTTTCCTTGTTCACAAACAGAAGGGATCATCAAGGTTTAAAAGTTTGAATGACAGTAAAATGGGAACAGCAGAGACCTGTTCTAATGCATTGAAGAAAGAATGAACATACAGGAACATGAATGCACTGTTTCAGAGACCTGAAAGAAGCAGTTATAGATCAAACATCTTGGACTGAGACCCCAAGGCCTACCCTAGCAGTAAACTATCTTATCCAGGTAGATAATTTCATTCAAAATTTAAGATTTAACCAAAATTTAAAATTTGTTTTTTTAAGATTTAACCAAAAATACTGTTTAGCTTCTTTGAACTAACCTCTCTTCTTCTCCATCTTCTTAACTTCTGTTTTCTTGCCTTCTTCTTTACTCTGCCTATTAAAAACATTAAAGCGTTTTTACAACATTGTAAAGTCTGTTTCTCAGGGTTTTTTTTCCAAATTTTTAGATGAGATGCAATGTTTTGACGTATTATCTCAGTAAAACATCAGCATGCAAAAACCACAAAGACCTAAACCCTGCTTTTCAGAGACTGAAATAAATTAACAAAATTAATTAGCTGAGATACTGCTGATAAGCGCTCCATACTAACAGTTTTCCCTAGAAGCAGCAAATTACAGGATTTTAAAAACAATTCACACTTCTAAACTGTATTTTGTTTTGGTTGCACGTATAAATTGGTAAAATGGCACTGTGCGGAACTAATGGAGAAATAAGATATTTTTATTACTATTACAAAAAGATTAACACTATTTAAGATTACTATAGGGAATTACAGAGAGATCAATTAGTCATAATCAGTTCCTATGTGACTTGTTTTCTCACATAATTAATTATAACCATGTGAGTGTCCTACAACTGACCACAAATGTACCAGTGATAATTTAAATACTCTTGAAGCAAACAGTAATAAAGCAAAAAGATTTATTACAAGTTCATTGAAATCTCCTGGCTCTTTCTCTAATTGTATCACTAAAAATAAAGCTGGCACTTAAGAAAAACAGAATAAAACAAAACTTATCTCCATCTCAGTTACAGGATGAAGACAGGCAGAAGTCTTTCCAACAAGCTTTTGAACACTTTATTCAGAGAAGACCATTAGCCCCTGCTTAGCAATTCTTCAGTCTTGTCTCACTGGGGGGGTTTCAACGCTTCTTTTTAGAATTTGCACATTTCAGCACATCATGACTAAATATTCTGTGACTCATTTTCTTCCTGTCATAGTAATATGCATCCCTAAAATATCCAAGCTTGCATGTCTGTCACCTTCCACGCTCCTTTCGTGCTCCATCCAGTTACAGAATCAACAGTTCTCAAGTGCATAAGACTACTCAGGCTGGCAGCACAAGCTAACGCTCCTTAAACATGTAAACGTCCTGTATGTCCAGAATGGTGTGCAAAGCACCACTGTTAGACTTAAATGAACATCAACAACGTAGCTAAAAAGACCAGAAAGTGGAAACTATGCTGATGAGAGCAGTAACCAAAAAAGCTATCAGCCCATACTCAGTGGATTAGCAGAGGAACTTGAAGACAGACAGCGCAAAAAGAAGTTTTTTTTACTTTATACTGAGTTTTATGATATTAGTCACCAGCTATAATTACATTCATTATGCATTCATAAACTACTGCTCTTTTATCTTACTGGAAGGAAGCTCTGTCTGCCCTCCGATGCATAAAATATGACAGCTATTTAAAAGTAGAAGAGATTTGATTATTGCAACCAAATCAATATACAACAGTTTGATTGCAGAAACCAATCAGCATGTGTCAGATTTAAACAGTGGTATATTAGGAGCTGAGGAGATGCTAAGGACAATTTAATGTCTCTGGAGTTGTAAATGCTCAGGTTTGCTACAGGCCAAGTAGAGTAATTAGGTTAGGCTTCCAGAGAAAGAGCAACAGGAAGAAGAGAAGAAAAGGGCTAGAGGATAAAAACCCCAGACAAACTAGATTCTTGTTAATGAATGTGGAAAAGGTAGAATTTTGTTGTTAAGGGTGAAGCGCACCATAATCCTCCTCCTATTTTCTCCAAGTTTTTACCTTGTTCTCCCTTTCTTCTGCCCTCCCACCAACTGTGGGGATGGGAACATCATGCTCTCTCTCTCGTGGTGGTGGCTTCTTCACCCATTTGCAGAATAGCTCTTGAGAATGAGTCAGATTTCTTCCTATTGTCCCACCCCCCCAAGTTTCTGGCAGGATCTTCTCTCCATTCCTATGCTTGACTCATTTGTGATAATTTATCTTCCAAATGCAGACTGCTCTAGGTATCACTCAACTGGCTTTGCAGTGCTAGAGTAGAATAATTCTTAATTTTTTCCCTGTTCTGTCTGATGGTGCGCTCCAGCTGCCAGGCAGAGAAGGAAATGTTTTCCAGGTAATCGCTATGCATTCCACAACCTGACTGAAAATCCATAACCATGGATTAATAGGTCCTACCAGTTCTCAATCCAACATATCCACTACTTAAAAAAAAACAAAAAAAAAACATGGCTGTCCTGAACAGTTTTTCACACTGATCTCATTTCACAGGAATATTCTTAGGTTAATTCTAAACAGAACCCACCAGCTCTCTTCTGCTAGAAATTCCAAATCACTGAAAGACTGACATAATTTAATTTCTAGGTTCAATTCTTCCCATCCTCCCACTATAGAGTATACTGGTTTAGAGGAGCTTCTTACTCTCCACTCAAAAAGAAGTTAAAACAGATAAAACAAGGGTGGGGGAGAACAACAGCACACAGCGCAAACCAGTCTGGAATTTTTTTTCAGATGTTGTCTCCTCTGGTTAGTTTCAAGGTACTCCTACAACTTGAGGACATCACATGTTAAAACATACTCACAATTCAGACTCCGTCTGTTCCTCTTGCTTACGCTTTCTCTCTGCTGCTTCTCTCTCATGTTGGCCTCTTACAATGTTTCTTCTATGAGATGCCTGAAAACTTCTTCCCCCTTTTTTCTTCTGTTTTCATTTGGGATTTTGGGATTGGAAAGAGAAAAGGAGTCTTTAGATTACTGAAAAGCAAGATTATTAAATCACGGTATCTTTGAAGCAATTCTGCTCCACGGAACAACCTGACAAGAGCTGGCTTTCCTCACAACTAAATACAAAAATCTCCGCACGTTGATAAGTTCTAAATTTTAGTCCTTTCTCCTTTTTTAACAGAATGCAAATATTCTAAGCACCAGAAAAATGAAGACATTCCAAAGGACTGGCTAAAGACAGCTTTGTATCTTTCAAAAAACTTGATTTCAGACCAAATGTTCTCTTAGACATACCCAAGGAAAAAAAAAAAAAGGTCTGTGTTCCAAGGAACACATAGATGGAAAAAGCATTTTGACAAAATAAGTGACTGCTACATTCAAATCCTTCGTTAAAAAGAAAAATGTCTTAGAAAAGATGCTTTTCTCTGAAAATAGCAAAGAAGCTCCTGAAAGAATTATTTGACAAAATGAAGTTCTAGAACTTTTATTCTATGCATCTACATTAGCCAGCCACAAGGCTGCAACCTTTCCTAAGATCTGGCATTAACTTCAAGAAAGATCTTCAGTGATACTACTCTCCTTTATAATAAATATATCAGGAAAGAAAAATTATACCTTGTCACCTTCTTGTTCTTCTCCTTCATCTTCAGAACCAGAAGTTGATGCAGAACCTACTTTCGCAGCATTTTTCCTTTTTGGTTCGGCCTCTTTCTTTCCCTCCTTTTTGTCAAATTCCTTCTTTGATTTGTCCTCTTCTTTCTGGCTTTCCTCATCTTTTTTCCCTTGCTTTTTAGACTTTTCTTCTGGTCCTTTTTTCTTTGCCTTCTCCTCCTCATTAACACTAAAACATGAACAGTATTAAGACATCATATCTATTATCTTCAGTGAGTTTAAAACATCACATTTCAACTCAGGAAGTTGATTTTTTTTTTTTTTAACAACAGAATATTAAAAATTATGAAGTTAATTAACTCTCAGTTCATTTAATGGCTCTTCAAAAAATACTTCATCTTTTCGAAAAATTATAGCCCACTACCTATGCAAAAAAGGAAATAAATAGCATGGTGGCCCTAATGAAGCTAACGTTAACATAGGCACATAGATCCAAAACCAGAAAGTTAATGCTCAGAAGTTGGCCACACACACACACGTGTCTGCAGGACCAAGAGTGCATACGCTGTAAACTAGTGTCATAAAGTATACTTATTTAAGGTGTACATACACTGAAATCTGCTGATCTAGAAAACTGTGCTAACACTCAACTGTTCCTTTAACCAGTTACTAGAACCTCTGAGGACCTGACAAACGAACTGAAGAGGGTAAACCCAAAATTTAGGTAACAAACAGTGTTGGAATTCCACAAGAACAGATTGCTGAAACAAAAACATAGAAAAAAGTCAATGCTTTAGTTTTATTAAGGGAAGAGACAAGATCATGCAAGTATCTTTTCCTCTTTACCTGGCGTACAATAACATAAGGAATTTTGCACAGATTTTACAAGTTAGGAAGGTTAAGATCTGCTGTCTCTTATTCCACAAACGTACTACCTCGAGCTAGCTACACGTTAATTACCTGAGCTGTAAGTAACACCATCGAGCAAACATGTAACTCATACTGAACGCTAAAGGGGCAAAACCTGACAAGAACTGAGTACTCATCATGAAACCTTAACACAAGGAACAAGATGATTTACAATGAAGAAGCTTTACGTTAAGAAACAAAACAGAACAACTCACAAGTCACCCTCTGAAAGACAAGGTGGTTTCACCAACTTGGGTCTCCCTCTTGGTTTTGGAACCTTTATGTCAGGAGCTAGTATTTACACAGAAATAACAAGTTAGTCCATATCCACCATCTGCTCCTTGTCTATAAGGAGAGATTCTTACTCAGACAGAAGCCACGATTAAATCAAAATATATATCCTAACATTGTTATTATAAAAAAAAATAAATTGTTAAGCAAGTACCAAACTTTAATCAAGATCTCTCCAAAAATGAAAAGTGTTAGTAGTTTTTTTAGCTCATTGGTAAATTAGATGTTGGTGGGTTTCTTAGCCACAGGCTCCAACCACCCATTCTTATATATTTGCACTCTGCGCAGTTAGGATTTGTTTCACATGTTGCATAGCTAACACAAACAAGTCTGAAATCAGAGAATAAGAAAGTCTGAAATTAGAGAATGGAAATAAGTAATTTGCCTGTTTGCCAGTACTTTTTAGATGTATCATGGGCTTTTCATCACTTTTCTGGGTAACAAACCACTGTCAAGAAAGGCGACCACTACACTACAGAGCGAAACTCTGCATTTTGTCAGGTCCACCATATTGTTAGGAACAAGACAAATAGTGTATCTACCTTCTTGGCACTTACATCCTTCAAATGCTTGTCCAATATCACAGTGAATATACGGTTAGGAAACCTAATACTCAGTGTTTAAACTGCTGTTGGTGTTAGCATGGAGCACTATTAAGCAAGAGATGCATGCAGCATATCAACACCAGAAAAGGTTGCATGGTACATCTTATAAAAAGGCATTTTATACAGGGGGTGAAAGCACCTCTTATAGATCCTTTCCTGCTCTTACAGAGAGTATTTAGTAAAAAAAACCAAAAAATTGTAAGGATAAAAACATATACGAATATTAAAACTTTAATAAAAGAGGGGAGGTGGAAGGGAGCTGAAATAATAAGTAGTTTTCTCACAGCTTCTAAGGCAAGAGTAAATAAGTCTAGTTAACTGTGGTTGTACTTTCTAAAGCTATTTTCATACTGTCACAGCAGATACAAATGAGTATAAAGTATTTGTTTCCCAGCTTAGATGCTCACACAACGTACTTAACTGCTGCAAGAACTGTTTTCTGATGTAGTAGTTAGTGATCAATTCAAGCATATCTGCAAGCTTACCACAAAAATTCTAATGAATTAGATCATTGCTACTTCGAAAGAAACAAGCACTGCAGAATTATGACCAAATGGTTCTAATTACACATTTAAAATGAAGCAGTTATATCTTCTTTTCATTTGCCTGTCAATCATCACAGACTGTCTTAAACATCCTTTCCAAGAAGTCTCTCCAGCTCTGTTTTTATTGTTCCCTGAGCTCCACCTAGAGGCTCTGTGTAACCCCAGTCTCTTCCTTGTGTTTTATGGCTATTCTAACACAATCGAAGTATTTTATAGACCTTGAATGAACATAAACTGGCATGCAGCAACAATGCAAGAAAAGCTCTTACTAACTACCAGCAGTTTAGCAGCATTCTGTGAGGCAGGCTTTTCTAAAGGTGATTCTGGCACCCAAAACCAACAAGGATCGACCATTAATGCTAACAATTTAAATCCATTTACGTCCTGTATTCTTCAGTCTGAAATGAGGTGTTTTCCCATTACAATCTATTGGCAAAGACTGCCTTTAGCACAAGAAAATACTCTGTAGTACTTTAAGGGAAAGACAGCTCCCTGACTAATTCTACGAAGGTATTTCTGTGGTGAAAATAAATAATCCTTTCTTTTAAAGTTACCTGCTGGTCTTCCTCTCTTGGGGCTTACTTTTGGAGATCCCGGCACAGGAGCTGCTGCAGCCACTGCTGCAGTTACCACAGCTGCTGCTTCCTCAGCTTCAGCTTGTTTATCAGCCTAATTTAGAGAACGAATTCCACAAGTTAAAAAAATAACCACACAGGACACTGGTTTCCCCAATTACTTTCTCCAACAACAGTTTTAAACTTCTAGAAAAGCATCAGTACACTATTGCTTCTACACACAAAAAAAAACTTTACAAATTTAGTAACAGATTATATTTAAGTATCACTAATTTCCTCCTCTCCGTACCATCACTATCTGACACAGTAATGTTCCAATAACTTCAAACAGCCCATTCATCTTTAGAGCAACAAGCTATCTTGGTATGACGAAGTAAAAAATACTTACAAGTAATCTTTTAAGACCACCATAACAGTACGCCAAAACCCAGTTTTAAGCAGGTAAGACCATTCCCCTCGCCCCCAAACACTCTTTTAGATGCTATCATCTCCCCAGCTGCATCAAAGTTTCAAGCCAGTAGACGAAGCTATTCAGAAAAACAACTGCTTCCAGCTCTGTAACAAATTACTCACAATAAAAAACTGTGTGTTGACCTGCACTAACGGGACATAATAACCTCCACCCACATAGTCATTCTAGGAGAGGTGAGTTGTAAAGACAGACAGCACTTATGACAAAAGAATATCTTGATGAAGGGATACATCTCGCCCTGCAGAAACATTCCATATCCATACATACAGATGAAAAGAATTAAGAAAAATCCCAACTGGAGAAAATATTTACAGAACTTAGTGTCCTGGATTCAGGAGCATCAGCTAGCAGCAACAGAAAAGTTATGGGCAAATACATATTTATCTCAACATTCTTTGTGGACAAAAGACAATTTTGAAGAGTGGAGACAAACTTAAATCTAGAACAGAGTAGAGATGCATCTCTCATATGAACTGTGCTTTCCAGCAGTCTACAGAAAGACAGTGTAAACGAAGGCAGAAAAATTCTTGTTAGAATGCCTTTTTACAAACCTAGGAAAAGACAACACTGTATTTAAGGCAAATAAGAAATGCATTCAGAGCCATATAACTGCATAGCCAGCCCTCTTTTCTGACCCACAGGCACACACCACATCCCTTGAAATGTAACATTTTTCTGTTAGTAATGCAAATTTCTGGTTAAACCCCTTGCCACCCACAGCACATGCCAAGCACAGGTCTGTCAGCTGAAGCTAGTAAACATGACAGAGGAAATCACCTTAGGCCTGCAGTGCCTTATGATGCCAAGAAAAAACACCCACCTCAAACAAAAGAAAAAAGACCAAACCATAGGATTTGAAAAAGTAAAGAATGAGATATATATTTCCCCCCTGTTATCTGTGAGGCTTCTCACATAGATTTACAAGCTGAAATCACATGTATGCATAGTCACAGACATTCTTTCAACTTCTTGCTGTTTCAGACTAGAAGCTTTCTTTGAATTTTATTTTAGGTTTATTTTTATAAAATTTCTTTTTTTTTTAAACCTTTAAATTATATTTAATTTAAATTATTATTTAAATTATTAAATATTAATTTAATTAATATTAAGTATTCTTTAAATTATATCTTTTAAGTATTCGAGTCATCTTTGTAAAAGCATCCAAACACCTATCTTTCTTTTTCATGGAGAAAATGACACTCAGCATGCTACTTACCATGCTGAGGTAGCAGTTACTTTGCACTCACCCATCCCTGCTGTCAGCACTAATGTTGCAAGTTTAATGGTTTCAAATTCAAATTAAACTTTGCCCCAGTTTAATCTAGTTTTCAGTTGGGTCAGTGCCCTGATCTGGTTTGCAGTGTGACCATGTGAACACGAAGGCTGGAGCATGCTGAGCAAGCAGCTGGAACTGCCTCTTTTGAAGTAACTCCATTTTTTCCCAGGTGTACATACGAGACCACAAAAATCACAACCTCATGAAAAGGCGGAGTATTTCAGGTGTTAGTTCAGTGTGATAAAGACGTCAGAAGAAATTTTTCAGAGCTTAAACTAGACTATTACCAGTCTAGCAACAGTTCATATCTTAGTTTTTCTTATCTGCAATGGACTGGGAAAAGATGGGACACTCTACACTAAGTTCAAACAGAATTAAGACTTGTAAAACACCCTCTGGGAAAACTTTTGTTCCTACAAATCTTTCAGCTATTTGAAAGGTGGGGAGGAGGGTGTCAAGCACTTCAATTTATACATAATCTGTCATGAAAGAAAGTAACATCCAGTATCATCACATCCAGAAATTCCAGTAAGGTAAAGTAATTAAAACATATTGCTACCTTTCGTTTTCTTCCTCTTCTAGCAGCTTTAGGAATAGAAGAATCATTTGTTTTCATCACATCCTGTGAAGATTAAAAATGATACCACGAGTCTTAACAAAATAAAGATATATTTTAAATTATTCTAAGTTTTTTCCACAACTGAAGCCTCTGGCTCATAATTTAGACAAGAATCCCATAACATATATGAAGACACCTCCTGCTTTTAAATTATTAAAATCCTGATTATCTGGCTATTGAGATTTTTTTTCTGAAAGGTAAGAAGAAAAGTAAGTACTAAATAATACTCTGCTTTAAATAAAAGTGTGTAGTCATGTTTTAGTCTACCTAAACTCTTTATCTAGTCCTTTAAAAAGTGTGTTTGTAATACAGAGTAAGTGATAGAAAACATCACATTTCCACCTGTTTTAACTGAGCTTAAAAAGACATGCCAGACTAAAAGTTTCCTCTCTGATGGATGCTTCAATTCCTGTTAGCTTCAATGACAGGTATAAACATAAGTGAACACAGAGGGAGTTTTCTATGACATTGTCACAGTAGTAATAACTGTAGCTTCTCAGTACTAAGTAATAGATTTACGTCAATCAACATAATATTAAGATGTTCTCTGGTACATAGAAGAAGCTTTCACGTACTTCTTTACTGCTTTTTTCAGAAGGCAGATCATCTTCCTTTGAAGTATCCATCTCCTTTTCTTCTGTTTCTGCTTCTGCAGGTAAGTTACTATTCCCTTTAGGGGATAACTGCAAAGGGAGTCACCATAGAGTAAAAAAATGCATTAAAAAGTATTTCATAGTGAAAGAGAACATGCTTACAACCATCAGGCTGCATTTCACTTTAGTTTAAGCCTGTAGATAAACTCCTTTCCTAGGCACACATTAAAAGCTTAAGAGAGGACCACTTTCTCCAGCACACGATTGCAGATAGTTATCAGAACAGGTCAAAATACAGCAGTGTGCTATGGTGGAACTCACATTCCACTTTGTGCTCATGATAACATAACCACACTTTTCCACTACGTCACCACTGCATGAACACTTCTAAGTGTTCACGCCAACATTCAAGATTCAGCTGGATCCCTGTTTATCTGTTACACACAGATGGATATCCGAGTCACGGACCACAATTAGCAAAGAGTATCATTCTGCTAAACAAAGACTTCATGTAGTAAACACACAAACAAATTGTTTTATCATGGTGAGATAGTAATTAGTGATAATTGCTGTCATCTAATCTATGCCCTTTTTCCCGTTTTGTAGAGGCTTTTTTTTTTAAAGCCTTGTTGTGGCTTAATCCCAGTAACTAAACACCACACAGCTGCTCGCTTGCCGTCTCCCACCCCCAGGGGTTGGGGAAGAGAACTGAAGGGCAAAAGCGAAAAAGACACTCATGGGTTGAGAGAAGAAGAATTTTATCATTGAAATAAAATAAAATCACAAGTAATAACGATAAAATAATAATTAAAATTATAGTAATACACACAAACAAGTGATGCACAGTGCAGTCACTCACCACCCGCTGACCAACACCCTGCCCAGCCCTGGCTGGCGATCCTGAAAGCGAGAAGTCCCGAAACCACAATCCCCAAGAGAGAGAGCCCCAAAGAGAAAGCCCCTCAGCCAACCCTCATCTATAGATTGAGCATGACATTGCATGATGTGGAATATTCCATCTGCCAGCTTGGGCCTCAATGCTAAGCCTAAAATCAAATCCTAGGCTCAGAGTTGTGGGCCCACTGCTCCAGCCATGCTCCTTCCCAGCCTGCTGTGCACCTGCACACTGGCAAAACACGGGCAGCTGAAAAGTCACTGATTTCCTCAACAGCAACTAAAAACATCAGCACGTTATCAACATTCTTCCCATACCAAACCCCGTATTAAATCCAAAACACAGCATTATTCTAGCTAGTAAGGAGAAAACTAGCTCTACCCCAGCCAAAACCAGGACAATAAATGAGATACCATAGATGTATCAATCCCATCTGCACTATAATTTTTGTCATTTTAGGATTCTATCCTCTTTAAAAAAAAAAAAAAAGAGAAAGAAGAGATGACACATAACATCCCTTCCATGCTATAATGAGAAGTAATCCCACACGAACAAAACAAAACATTCAAGGACAGAGAAAGCTCAAAGCAGAGCGCTACACTAGTGTAATTACGTGTACACTAAGCTAGGAAGGTTCACCTCTTTATGTACAGCAACCTATACACAGGCTTTCAACAAGCTGAAACAAAGATGTTTCAGACAGAAAGGCATTTTCTTAGTATGAACACAGTATTTTAAAGAGAACCCAATCCTGTTTCGGAAGGATTCTAAGGTATGCACAAATTTACATAAAAAAGAAGCTGAACTCTGTCTATATAAACTACTGTACACTCACAGATAGTTTCCTGACTCAAGAGTTCAACTGATATCGCTATGAAATCCTTTATCTCCCTTGGTATCCTGATTAGTCCTTTAGGAGTACGGCCTGATTTGAAGTGATTCTTACAATCTGTTCAGGCAAATACACTGAAGAGCCCTTTCAGCCCAGACAGGACTTAATGCTCTGTTAGGCTTTTCAACAAAAACTGTCGTGACTGAAAGAGACAGTCACATGTGTCTACGATATTAAGATCTCTTCAAAAAGAGAAAGGGAAAGTTAAAGCTAAGTTTTGGTGATAATTTCCACCTTCTCCTATCAAGGACATACCGTATGAATTTAGCCTAAGTGTATAACAATTTAGAAACTGTCCTGGTTTTAACCAGCACACAGTTTTCCTTTTTAGCAGCTAGAAGAGCTCTGTTTTGGGTTTAGTATGGAATTTGTTAGGAGAACAACATTGATAGCACACTGATGTTTATAACTGGTACTGAGACAGCAACGACCTTTCAGCTTCCCATGTTTTTGCCAGTGTGCAGGAGTGCAACAGGCTGGGGGTGAAGCATAGCTGGGAAAAGGGGCCACAACTCCCCTTATGTTTGGAACTCAGACTCAGGACTGAGGGCTGGATTGGCCAATGGAGTATTCCATATCATGCAACATTATACCCCGTGCACAGATGAGGTTTGACCAGGAAGTTGGGGGACTCCTTTCTGAGGGCTCTCTTGGACTACTGGAGTTCTCTCTCTCGCCTTCTTTTCGGGCCTCTCACTCATCCAGGATTGTGGTGTCAGGACTTAACCTGCTTCAGGATCACTTGCTGGGACAGGACAAGCGTTAGTCACTGGGTGGCAAGTAACCATACTGTGCATCACTTGTTTGTACATATTGTCATCATTACATGTATAGTCATATATCATTATTATTTTATCATTATTAGTTTTAATTTTATATAATTGTTACTTGCAAATTTTTCTTATCTCAACCCACGAGTCTCCCTCCCTTGTCCCCGCTAATTCTCTTCCCTGTTCCCCAGGGGTGGGGCAGGGTGAGTGTTTGGTTGCCAGCCTGGTTAAACCACGACAGAAATACAGACCAGTAAAGAACTGACTCTTCAAACACATGTACAGCACCTGAAAAGGAATACAGAAAGACAAAAATACTCCTCTATGTATGTCTGAGAAGAAGAAAAGGTAAGGCAGTTACACCAGTAAAACACTTGTTAGTTTAAAGTGTTTAAGTAAAAACTTGGCAATACAGTTTTGACTTAAAAACATTTCTGGTAGAACAAAACACAAATTTAGTCACTTACTTTGGGGACAGAAGACTTTCTTCTTTTGGCTCCTGCTTTTTCTTCACTGCCCTCAGCAGGCTCCTGACTGCTTTCTTGAACAGTTTCTTTGATAGGAGTGTTAACAGCTGGATGGGACTTCAAGATAAAAACATCAAAAATGAGATCTAAATCCCTTCCTGAACTACAGAGTAACAATACTGAGAGGTGTTCTGCCAACTGTTCGTTACCGAAGAATCAGTCATGCTAAGGAACCCCTTATCAGAACTACAAGAATATTAAAATACACGTTTCATTAATTTCTACATTTTTCAGTTTAAAGTTCATTTTCATTATCAAACTTTCAAGCTCTAATACTATACCAACTTATTTTCACACTAAAAATACTCTAATATAAGAATTTTCTCATGTATAACTTAAAAAAAACCCCAAACAATCTTTTTATTCAAATACAACTTGTGATGCTACTGCCAAGAAGTTCATTTTTAAATGACCTATCAATGCTAAGTGAGCCAACTACCTGTTCCTGAAAATATGAGCAGAAAAAAAAAGATTATAATAAAGGCTAAAGAATTAAACTCATGGAAACAGAGAAGGTAAAGCCAAAATTACTGGTTTTTATTCCATTACACTGTGGATAGCATTCCCGCTCTTTAAATACTAGCTCCTTCAAACAAAGCTGGCAGAACTCCCCTGCCTCTTTAATTTCTCCCCCCATGAGGAAGTGGTTTTGGATTTCAGCCCAAACTACAGCTCTCTTCTGCCCTCTACCTCCCTTACTAGCAGTGACAAGCCACATCTGCCAAGTAGAAATACTGCTTTCAGAACATTCCAGCCACTTCTGGCAGTCCAACAGAAAACATGACACTCGAAGACTTACCAAGACAAAACACACCCGCTAAAAGAACAGGAAAAAACAGAAGCCAACTGCAAGTGAATCCTATACGGATAGCTGACAAGCCTGTCATTTTGATATTATCTTTTGATACAGAATAAAAGCTTGGTTTTGCCAGCTCTCCATGTGATTACCCACTCCCCTCTGATCTTACCTGCTGCATGGGCCAAACACAACATTATTTACTCACCCTGAATTTTTAGGCTCTGACAACTGACCTGTCTTCCCTGCTACTGTCCAGTAACTGTCCTTCACTTTAAATATCTTTTTTTTAAAAATCAAAGAATTGTATGTAGATCAAATATAGAGATCAAGGAATATCTTAAGAGACATTCATCTCCAAGACCTCAGCTAAAAAAATCTGCCCATTCACCAATGCGTGCTGCATACCGCAACATACTAATATGTTTTCCCTGCCCATGGCAGGGGGGTTGGAACTAGATGATCTTCGAGGTCCCTTCCAACCCAAACCATTCTATGATTCTATGATTAATAGGCCGTAGTACACTATTCTACTTTAATAGTGATTTAATTTAACAGTATTTCCAAATATTGTTGGAAAACAGCATCTGCACTTATCAGCAGACTCCTGTTACCTTTCCCCTCAGCCTTCACAGCCAACTACTCGTCTCCATTTCCGAGGCTGGACACTGCCCTCCCTGATGGTCTCCTAAACCCTGCAGCCTGGAGAACAGCTAGCAGGCGTCCCGGTCGGGGACTGCCCCGAGCTGGTCAGGACCAGTCTCAGTCGGCTCAACAGGCAAAGTGGCACACTCCCTGAAAGGACACCAGGCATGGCGCCTCGGCAAACGCCGCCCTGGGGAAGGGAGTCGCTGAGGAGAAGAGCAGCTGCCGGGAAGGGCTGGGGAGATTCCACAGGAGCAAGGCTGATGGCGGACACGGCGCCCGCGCAGGGCAGCAGGGACGCTGAGGCGAAGGGGGCGCAGGGCAGGAGGGATGTGGGAAGGCAGGGGCACAGGAGGAGCCGCCCACGGCAGGCTCCAGCCCGAGCAGCTGGGAGCAGGGGCAGGGAGGAGACAGAAGGGACGGCTCCGAAGGGTTTGCGGCCGGCGGAGGAGCCCATGCCCCGGCTGCTGAGTAAGAAAGAAGGAGCAGCAAATGCAAAGTAGCTAGCACACACCGGCCTCACCGCCTCCTGCGCCGCCATTGCCTCACCCGAGGGCAGTCGCGGACCAGCGCGCAGAGGCCCGTTTCTCCAAGTCTTTGTTTGTCTTTGTTTATAACTACCAGAATTAGTAACAAAAATCTTACCTGAATCGGCTACATTGCGCCAAATTCCCTGAGGTGAGTGTTTTGTTGCCTGTGACACATTCCTCTTTGGCAAAGATGGGAAGGTGACTGGCCCTCAGAGGCTGATGCCAACCACTCTGATACCCTTAAAACAGGTACACGCTTCCCCATGAACTCCCAATAAAACTACAGCTTGCATGCATCTCATTTTGTGTATTTCCAATTGGAAATGTATTTAGGAACGTCTGAGATGCTTTCAAAGCAACCCAGAGCGCTGCTTAGGTTGAAGTAATTCAGTAATTATTTGGGAATCAGTAATTGAAGTTGCTGATTCCTGCCGTGAAGCAGAGTATCAGACAAGCTTGTTACCACTGATTGTTCATACCCAGATTTTCACCTTGTTAGAAAGACTGGTAAAATGCAACTCAGTTAGGGTTCACAACTACCTCAGCCATCAAGGGAGCATCTCTCCTAAACTGTCACTAAGAAAACAGCAAGATGGTACACTGACTCATATTTTACAGCAGCTGAGAGAATCTGTCCCTTATTAATACAGTCCTTCCCACTGTGATGAGGAGATTAACATCCTTCCATATCCCAGAGCAGAGAAAGTGCACATCTGGACTACACCATCTTACTTCTTGACTATGCTTCAGAAACTCCTTTACTTTTCTTTTCCATGTTCTCCTTCAAACTAGAAACACAGTAACGTGGGATATCTTATGAAGCAGGGATTAACTGGTGCTGAAACGGCAATCTGGCGTGTTGCATAGAGTTGCAAGTAATACCAAAAAATACCAATTCCTTTTATTATTACTGCAGCATTGCTTAGAGCCCCCAGTATGTGATCAGGGTCCAGCGTACACAGCAAAACCAAAAGGCTACAGAATGTTCAGCGGAGGTAGACAAAGACAAAACGAGCAAGACAACTTCTTTGTCTTCAGATTAAATTTGGGTCTTTTTATGAGCAGCACTGTACGGCTCCAGTTTAAGCTTGGAACACTGAACCAAGAGGGCAAGAAACTACTGATGGACAAAAATTGTGTCAAAGAAGTCAAGTGACAGTCTGAGGGCAAAAGGCAAGCATCACATTGCTTCCAGTCGCTAGAAGGAAAATACTGTGTGCTAAGAAAGCATGTACCGAAATCTTACAAAGGTACTGGTGGAGAAAAGCACTTGGGTTTAGAGGACACAAAGAAGCAGAGTGACTGTAATTCCAAAAACTACCACTTTTCAAGCACAGTTGCAAAGTTCCAAAGATAAGTATCTTCGTAATAAATAGAGTTATAAGTATAAATAAATATGTTTGTAGCTATAAGTAAAACTTGATGTGTACTGTAAAAAGTGTTAAAACTTTTAGCCTTGTGCTTCAAAACTGCCCAGATGATCCCTCATGAGCTTACTGTAATAAACAGATGTCCCCAGTTAAACAACACTGCCATCTCTTTTACGCTAGTAATACTAGAAATCAATTAAAAATAAAATAAACAATTAAAAAATATATTATCTGACCCACAGTTAAACTACAGCAATAATTCAATGCCCTACAACAAGGAAACGCTCATTGCCCTTTTCTTGCCTCAACAGTACAGCAACAAAGATTTGCAAACTTCACATAACTTACCGGCTGATGAGAGAACTTCACTTTGGGATTGTTGTCAATTTCCCACAACCCTTCATTAAAACCCTTTCTTTTATTTGGTTTGCCATATTTATCTTTATTTTCAGAGTAAGGGAATATGTCCTTTGGTCCCAAAAACGCCCTTAAGGAGAGAAAGAACAAAAAGAAGAAAATTCCACATTTTATATGGCTAGCCTTTTCAAAGAAGTAAGCACCAAACGTTATTAAGATAAGAAATTAATTACTACTGCAACAATTAACATTGCTACACAAGCGTTTTTAGTTTTCTCAACTTGTGCCTTCAACAGTCCAAGTTTTCCATTACTACCAGCACAAATACGGACCCCCTGCTGCCCACAGTCTCGAGTGTCGGGCGAGAAACAGCCGCTGCTGCACCTTAAGATTGCAGCTGACAGGACAACCAACTACTGTGAGTCAGAACAACTGAAAACGAAGTAGCTTGTAAACAAACAGAAAAAGCAATTGCTTCCTCAGGAAAAAAAAAAATCTGGCTTGAAGGTTAAGAATAAAGAATCCTTGAATCTGGACAACGTAAGGCAAGAGAGCAACTGAAAGGAGAAGAAATGGCTCCAAGCTGACAAAGAAAATCTTTCGAAGTTATTAAATTAAAAATAATCCGTTTAAAATACAAAACTTAAGAATAATTTTTAGTGCATTGGACACAAAAAACAACACTTGCATACACTAACTGTCCACATCTTTGTAAGAATGCTATGTAATTCAGCACTAATTCAGTGGTTTTTCAGTGCACGACAACAGGACCTCTTAAGTCGAGTTACCAAATTTAACCAATAAAAAGAACTTTAAACTGTTCCTTATTTTAAGTTTCTCTCTCAATCCTTTTCTTGACAAAGAAAACACTACAAATATCTGATTGAAGCTACTCTTGTAGTAGAGGTCTTAACGCTGCCTGCGGATCTTTGTCGGACAACCAGCCGACACTCCTGCACAGCACTACCCCCGCTGTAAGCTCTGGAACTAAAGCTCTTCTCACATGTCCAAGTCACAGCAGCCACACTGCTAGCTTCTCCAAGTTAGAGTCTGGAAAACAAGGTGACATACTACTGAGAACCATTATTCTGGTTTATGCTGAAGAACAAAGAGCTGCTTTAGACTTACACCCTACTAAACAACAAAAAAAAGGACATAAGATCATCTGGAAAGCTTCAGCGTTTCCTACCGCAGCAGTAAAATACTCACATATGCCTACAAAGCATTAAGAAAGCCACTGTCACAGACTAGGCTGCAAATCACCCACCTCTTTGCAAGAGATGGTGAAAGAGGATTCAGCCAGCGTGAGACACACGCACCTGCAAAGCCTGTTTAAACAGGCCAAAAGACAGAGAGGGAGAGAAACAGAAACCAGAAAGGCAAAACCAGGAAACATTGCCTCTCTTCTTCCCTATCCCCTGCAGGGAAGCATTCTTCCAAGGTCTGTGAGCCTCTGGCTTTGAAAAATACTAGAAATCAGCTACTGTGAAAAGGTCATGTACCTTAGTGGGCTGCTGTAGTTAAATCCTCACGTTCCAAACAGAAAAAGGAACAAGAAAATCAAATTAAGAGACATTACCCTAACATTCAGGGTCCAGAAACTATACAAGTATATAGGGTTCAGCGTGACCTCCTGTTTGTCTGTGACCAACCCAAATTTGCACTGATGTGATTTACCGGCATGACAGATCCAAATAAAGCTTTTATTGAAATAGTATCTATTTTATTACTCTTTTAGGAAAGGGTACTGTTGCTGCAGTAAGACAGTATGGAAATGAACAAGACAAACCTCAACTAAACTCCCAAAACGTGTTTTAAGAAGCACGTATCTGTTCACTGCACACAGGCAGCAACATATTTAGTTGTGTTTCGACAAAAGGTTGATTGATATTGTTGACTCTTCTCAAAGAGCAACTTTATACTTGTGTATAGTAACCTGCAAAACTGAATTAATATTATTCCTAAAAGTCAAGTAAGAATTATTCCCACACCAGTCTTGTTTTCATTTTCCCTCTTTTCCCTACTGTCACCATCCACACAGCTAGAAAGCATCATCCTTGATACAGAAGGACCTTTTAACATGATTAAAATCATTATCTGGATTTTCAGAATTGCCACAACTTAGAGTAAGATAGGCTGCATACGTACGGACTACTAATGTGCTGTAGGTACATAAAGCCTAGCTTTGCACAGGTGTGTAACTCTAACCATGAGAAGCACAGTGGAGAACAAGTTTACGCAATTTATTTTAATTCCCATTAAAAAAGCACAGAAAATTGTTAGTTCTGCCTAATTCCTGAAGCATCACCAAGTCAGTCTTTACAGCTAAACATCTAAACAAAATTACATGCCATGGAAGACTATTCAAAAAAGTCACTGAGCAGGCCGAGATATTCAATGACTCTTTTGCCTCACTCTGCACTGGCAAGAGCTCCAGCTGCACAGCCCAAGTCACAGGAGGCAAAGGCAGGACTGGGAGAATGTAGAAACACCCACTGGAGAAGAAGATCAGGTCCGAGACCATCTAAAGAACCTGAAGGTGGAAAAGTCCATGGGACATGATGAGGTCCAGAGGGAACTGGCAGACGAAGCTGCTAAGCCACTATCCATCACATTTGAGAAGTTGCGTCAGTCCAGTGAAGTTCCCACTGACTGGAAAAGGTGAAACAAAACCCTCATTTTTAAAAATGGGAAAAAAGGAAGGCCTGGGGAACTACATGTTAGTCAGTCTCACCTATGTGCCTGGCAAGATCATGGAGCACATCCTCCTGGCGGCTATGCTAAGTCACATGGAAAAAAAAAAGAAGCTGACTGGTGACAGCCAACATGGCTTCACTACGGGCAAATCCTGCCTGACAAATCTGGTGGCCTTCTACAACAGAGTTACAGCATTTGTGGATCAGGAAAGAGCAACTAACATTGTCTGCCTGGACTTGTCCAAAGCACTGGACACCGTCCCACAGAACATCCTTGTCTCTAAACTGGAGAGACATGGAATTGTCAGATGGACCACTCGGTGGATAAGGAATTGGCTGGATGGTCGCTCGCAAAGAGTTCCAGTCAATGACTCGATGTCCAAGTGGAAACCAGTGACTAGTGGCATTCCCAGGGGTTGGTACTGGGACCAGTGCTATTTAAAATCTTTGTCAGCGACATGGACAGTGGGATCGAGTGCACCCTCAGCAAGGGTCACGAAGATGATCCGAGGGCTGGAGCACCTCTGCTATGGAGACAGGCTGAGAGAGTTGGGGCTGTTCAGCCTGGAGAAGAGAAGGCTCCGGGGTGATCTTATAGCAGCTTTCCAGTACTTAAAGGGGGCCTACAGGAAAGCTGGAGAGGGACTTTTTACAAGGGCATGTAGTGATAGGACAAGGGGCAATGGCTTTCAACTGAAAGAGGGGAGATTTAGATTAGGTATAAAGGAAGAAATTCTGCCCTCTGAGGGTGGTGAGGCACTGCAACAGGTTTTCCAGACAAGCTATAGATGCTCCATCCCTGGAAGTGTTCAAGGTCAGGCTGGATGAGGCTTTGAGCAATCTCATCTAGTGGAAGGCATCCCTGCCCAGGTCAGCAGAGTTGGAACCAGATCATCTTTAAGGTGCTCTCAAGCCAAAGCATTCTATGATTCTCCTTATTCACCTGATCTGTTCCTTCCTATTGTTTCTTAAAGATATCTGGTGTATGCAACAGCCAAGTAAGACCAAGAAGCATGGGAGTTTCACCTGTGACCACTCTAAAGAGCACAAGTTAAGTGACATGCTTGAAGAACAAATGCCATGAGACAGCTTGGTCATGGAACATGCTGTACTTCACAATGTCTAAAAAACAGAGACTTCTCGTTTCTCGCATATTGTACAGATCTCTGAAATGTAGTATCCCTGATCCTACAGCCTAACAAAAAACAGATCACAGTAAAACTATATTTTTATAGAATATCAGAGTAAGATCAGACATTTCAAATTTACCCATATAAACCACAAAGAAAAAAAAAACCTCTCAAACCCAAGCCTGTCTTAGGAGACTAAGCTTAAATTTAAAATTGGCCATGATGCTTCTCAAAATTTGCAAAGGTATTTTAAAGCTTTAGATAAGGAGTTATTTCTGTCTCCCTTACATTCAGGCTGCTTCCCAGAACATGTTTACAACTGCACAAAACTCCAGTGCAATCCAGAACAACACATACGCTACCAAGGGCAGGACAATATTGTGCTTTCAGCTGCCAGAAACAAAAAAAAATAAAAAAGGAGAAGGGAAAAGGAGAAGGGAAAA